TAAAAATATTTAAAGATAATAATATCGCTATTAAAATTAATAAAGAAGGAAAATATCTTTAATTAAATAAAGAAAGTATAAAAAATATTTAATAAATTTAAAAAAAAGTTTATTATAATATTTATTTTAATTATATTTAACTTAAAGAAATTAATAATATTAGAAACTAATATATCTAATTATATACTAGATATATATATAAATTAGCTAAATAAAAAAGAATAATTATATTTAATAATCTTTTATTTATAAAAGTTTATAATTATAAAGTTAAACTATAATATATATAATAAAGAATTATTAATAATTATTAATATATTTAAATAATAGAGATTATATTTTAAAGAATTTAAATATATTATAAAAATTTAATTAAATTATTAAAATCTAATAAACTTTCTTATAATAAAGAAATTAAATCGAAGATAAATAAAATAGATAAAAATATTTATATTCTTTAATTTTAAAATATTTTATAAATTAAGAGTTAAAAATAAATTAGTTAATATTATAAATAGAAGATTTAACTATTTAAAAGAAATAAAATTAGTATATAATATAATATTAAAAAAAGAAAATAATATAATTATTTATATTAATTAAGATTAACTATAATATTAATAATTAAATTTATAAGAGAATAATAAATTTATAATACTTATTAAAAGAATAATATAATAAAGAAGTTTTAAAAGAATAATAATTTTAAAATAATATAAATAACTTAAAAAATATAATTATATAATAAATTTATATATATATTAATAATTATATAATAAATTTATATATATATTAATAATATTATAAAAGACTTTTACTAAAAAAATCTATAAAATATTAATATATAATTATTAAAATATTAATAAAATTTTAAAAAGAATTTTAAGAAATTACTATTTTCTAGAAATAAAAAATATAATAAAGTAAATTATCTTAAAATATAATAATTATATATAAAATAAAAGTGTAAAATATATATTTTATAAATAAATATAATATATTAAGTTATTAAAGTGAGTATAAAATTTAATAATAATAAACTTTATTTAAATTTATTAGAATTTAAAGATTTAACGATAAAAGTAAAGTATAATATAATATTAATTATTATAAAATAATTAATAAAGTTTACCTACTTTATATTAATAAAGACGATAATAATAGTACTATAAATAATAGTATTAATAATAAAAATAATACTAATAAATTATTAAATATTAAAAGAGATTATTTTAAATAGAGATAAACTATTTAAATTAATATTTTAATAAACTTTAGTATAAAGTTTAAAGATAAATTATAAATTATTAATAAGCTTCTATTTATAAATAAATAGTTAAACTAAGAGAATAAATTAATTTTTAAAGTAATACTTATATAATTATATAAATTATTAGTAAAATAATTAGATAAAACTACTATTAATAATATAATTCGTATATAATAACGTGAAATTCGATATTATAAAGATTTTACTCTTTTATATAAACTATAGTTTTAAATTAAAAGTATATTATAAACTAAGAATAGTTTAAAGTATTTTATAAAAAGTAATATTAAAAGCTAAATAAATTAAAGAATTATATATATAATTATTATAAAATATAACTTTCTAGATAATAAAGACTATAAAATATAATAATTAATATAAATTACTAAAATTAATCTTTAAAAAAGAGAATAAAGTTTATTTATTATAGAAAAATCTTAAAATAAAACGATCTAATAAGAAATTAAATTATAAGAAAATTAGCCTTTTTAAAATTAAATAAATTAAAAAAAAAGTTAATTATAAGTTAAAATTATTATAAAAAATAAAAATATATCTAGTTTTTTATATATTATTTCTAGAATTAGTATATATTAATATTAAACTTTAAATATAATTTATAAAACTTAAGAAAGAAAATATTTATAAAATAAAACGAATTTTAAACTTATAATAAGTAGATAATTAATATAAATATTTAATAAAATAGAAAGATTATAAATATATAAATAATATATAAAAATTATTTAAATACTTAATAAATTATAATTAAAAATTTAAATAATTTTATTATTAAAACTAGAAAATTCTAAACTTTTAAAAATAAAGAAATCTAAATTAAATTAACTAGAAAAAGATATAATAGTAAAGAAAGAAGAAATAATTAAAAAAGTTTATTATTTTTTAATTACTTATTTTAGAGCTTTAAATTCTTTAATAAAATTAAGTTTATAATAAAATATTTTTATCTCTTTATATTTAAATAAAAGAAGTTTATAATAAAATCGATAAAAATAAATATAAATAATATAAATCGCTTTATATTAAATATAAATTATTTTTTATTAAAGATATATTATCTTTAAAACTATTTTTTTATAAAAATAAATAATTTTCTTTTTAATCTTTTTAATAATATTAAACTTAAAATAAAGCTTTATTTTTAAAGTATTAAGTTAATCTTAATTCTTTTATATTATTATAAGATTATATTTTAAACTATAAATAAGATATTTAAAATAGAAACTAAAAGAAATATTAATAATATAAAAATAAAAAGAATAATAATAAATAAAATAAAAAGTTAATATAAAATAATTATATAAAGTAATATAGATAATATAATATCGATAATAAATTAAATAAAGTTTAACTTTTAATATCTTAAAAAAAAGAAAAAAGAGATATATATAATTTAATAAATAGATAATATATTTATTATATATTTAAATAAAAGAAATAAACTTTTAAGATAAAAGTTAAAAAAAGAGAGAATAGTATTATAATTATAAGTTATAAAAATATATAAATAATAAATAAAGAGAAAAAAGAAAGATTATTTAAAAGAATTATAAATAAAATAAATAATAATAAATTATAAAACTTAAATATTTAGATATATAAATATTTTAATTATAAGAGAAATAATTAAATAATTAAATAATTAAAATAATTAAAGAGTATTATATAATTTAAATATTTAGATATATAAATATCTTAATCGTGAAAGAAATAATTAAATAATTAAGCGATTAGAATAATTAAAATATAGATAATTAAATTAATTATAAAGAATAGAAATATTTAAAAATAGTTTTTCTTTTATATATTTAGATTTTTTATAGTTATTCTTATTATTAATTTTATTTATAAATTTAAATATTATAGTTTTAAACTTAATTTTACTTATTATATTATTTTTATATAATATATCTTATTTTATTATAAATATTATTCGAAGTTAAGAAGTTAATAAATTATATTAATAACTTAAAATATCTTTATTATATATATTTTATTATTTTATTAAATATATCTTTATAGTTAACTATATTAAGTGAAAAGTTAAATATATTTTTAGATTTATTTAATTTTATCTTAATAAATATAGATTTTTATTATAATAATTTCTTTTATTATTATTAATTTTAATACTTTTAAATATTAAATAAACTTATAATCTTTAGTTTTAATACTTTTAAATATTAGATTTCTCTTATTATTATTAGTTTTAATACTTTTAAGTATTAGATAAACTTATAATTTTTAGTCTTAATACTTTTAAGTATTAGATTAGAATATTATATCGTCTTTTTAAAACTATAATAATAGAACTTAATTTAATATAATAGTATAACAATTATAAAGAATCGAATTAAATTATAACTAATATAATCTAACTATAATATAAAGAGATTAAATTAAGGAAAGAAGAAATTATAGTCGCGCGATCTACTAGTATTAAGCACGTAACGGTAGAACCTCGGCGCGACTACTACTAATAAGGGAAAGTAGGAAATGATAATCTATAACATCGTTACACGAGCCTTCTTTAATCGCTAAGACGCCGTAGACGCCTTAGTAGCTACCTTCGCTAACGCCTCACTATACTCTATTATACCGCCGTGCTGAATCCGCTTCCGTTTACGCGTTTTCCTCTTAGTTATTACTGCCAATTGCTCTTCAAGCTTAGCAATACGGGCGCCCATAAGCGCGCTTCCATGCATCATTAATTTAGCTCCTTTTACGAGCTGTACAAGCCTAGACTAAGCTGTAGTAGGCGATCTAGTAATAGAATCCCGTACGAGCTTTAATTGCGATCCAAATTCAAGCGTGTTACTTGGAGTCTTTGATTGCCACGGCGTCTGTAGTGGTAGGGGTTCTAGTGGGGTGCGTAGGCGTACTTCAAGGCGATTTAGCACTACCTGCGCGTTGATAGGGATAAGGCCTGATGCCTCAAAGGCTTTGCGATAGTTCTCCTCTGTAAATACGTCAAAAAACGCGTCCTTAAAGGCTGGTAGGAAGCCCTCTTTGTTGATATGGAAGACGCGCCGGCGTGCCAAGTCTCGAACGCGCTGGGAGTACTTGCGCTTTAATGGCGAAAAGCAGACTACGTCAAGTGGTTGGAGTATATGCGATGAGTGAGGAGGCATATAGAGCGTTAAGATCTTGTTCTCTAGGCAGTAATCCTTGAAATCCTGGTTGAGGTGGCTCTCATGGCCGTCGAGGATAAGCAGCCGGTATACCCCTACCGTACGCGCCTTTGTATGCGCGTCAAAGTGCTTCAACCACTCAAGACCAAGCGCGTTATTTGTCCAGCCGTTCTCAGAGACTGAGATCTTCCAGTTGCGCGGTATATCTGTCTCCTCGTACCATGCAGAGATGTGGACGCGGCCTTTGTAGATGATGAAGGGTGGGATCGCGTACCCTGCAGCGCAGATGCTCT